CCACTCGGACTTGAAATTGCCTGTCTTTTAAAAACTGTGACATAAAAAGAGGCAAACGGCCTCTCTAACCAAAGTCATGTAAATCCTTCAAAATGCCATGCTTCCAGGTCGTATCATAAGCTTTCTCAATATCAAAGAAAATTGATACAGCATATTGTTTATTTACTTTAGCATTCTTAGTAAAGGATTCAAGGCATACCAAATGATCAATGGTACTACGATTTTTCCTGAAACCACATTGAATATTGGTTATAAGGTTATTGGTTTCAAGATACCAAGTTAATCTATTATTCACCATACGTTCCATGGTTTTACAGACACAGCTAGTTAAAGATATTGGTCTGTAATTTGACGGATCTGTATGATCCTTGCCAGGTTTCGGTATTGGGACTACAATGGCATTACGCCACGAGGGAGGAAAATTTCCGGACGTCCATATTTTGTCAAATATATCTAAAAGTGTGACCAGACATGGTTCAGGTAAGTGTTCCAGTAGCTAATAATGAATATTGTCATCACCCGCTGCAGTGTCATGAGTTTGCTCAAGAGCTGTATATAGCTCATGTAATGAAAACAGTTCATTATAGTCTTCACCAATATTTGATTCAAAATCATTTTTTGTCTTTTCCTGTTGTTTCTGATATCTCTGAAACTCAGGGACATAATTTGCTGATGCTGATTTTTTGGCAAGAGTTTCGCCAATTTTATCTGCAATTTTAGATTTGTCAGTTATTAAACTATCGCCATCTTTAAGATGGTGAACAGCAGACTTTGAACCTTTGCCTTTAATTCTTTGAACCATGTTCCATACTCTGGACATTGGCGTACGTGAATTAATTTTGGAGACATAGTTCCTCCAAGATTGTTTTGATTGAAGGTACGACGTGCCTTCGCATTGAGTTTATACATTTATTTAAGTTATGGACAGTTGGGTGATGGCGGAAATGGTTCTCTGCCTTTTTCCTTGCTTTTCTGGCTTGCCTACAATCTGTATTAAACCATGGTTTTCGTACATGTGGAGTCGTAGAGGACTTTGGTATACACTCATCAGCTATTTGCTTTAAAACGTCAGCAAATGTTTGAATGGGATCAGTTATATCACTGAAACATTCAGGTCCCAGTTGTGAATTACACTTAGTTTGATATAAGCCCCAGTTTGCCTTCGAATAATTCCATCTTGTATACGATGGAGAATCAGATGGAGTTATTTCTGAAAGGATAGTTGGAAAATGATCGCTTCCAGAAAGGTCATTGTGGACAGACCAATCAAATTGATTGAATATGTTAGAATCTGCAAGAGACAAATCCAGAGAAGAGAAGAGAAGAGAAGCCAGTTGCAGGATGTAGATAAGTGTTTGAATCATCATTATATATGCACAAGTCATTATTAGAAATCAAATCTTCTAGTATTTTACCTTTAGTATAAGTGTTGTTACTACCCCAGAGTGGGTTTTGACCGTTTAGGTCACCCATAATAACACAGGGCTTCGGAAGTTGATCATAAAGTGATTGTAGTTCAATCCGTTGAATTGCAGACGAAGGTGAAATATTCAGCTTGGAGATTAGTTTTAAGTACAACAGGACTGTGAATAACATCTTGTCGCACAAGGATAGAAGAACCTCCAGTGGCCCTATCACCCAGAGGAGAAAAATAATGATAGGCATTGAACTGACGTAAAGTAAAAGTATCTGTCTGTTTCAGACATGTTTCTTGCAGACAGAATGCTGATGGTGTTAAATCCTGGACTAATAGCTGTAGTTCGTTAAAATTTGTCCTTAGTCCTCTACAGTTCCACTGCACGATATTAGTAAAATGACCTATCTTTTAGGTGGATTGATAGGGGACCTACCCCTCACTTTTTGGGATGGCGACAAGCTATGTGCCCTGGGATGGATGTTTTCTGACACATCCATCTCCTCGAGTAAACCATATTTATTGAATAAGTTTTTTCGATTTTCTGAACCCTTGGGTGGTCTGCCACTCGTTTTCCCAGTTCCCGTTCTCGGTTTGACAGTACTTTTTGACTTCGATCTTGTTTCAGAACGAGTCTGTTCTGTAGATTGTGACACTGTGCGTTCTTCATCCTGAACTGTAGATATCATCATAGTGTTAACACTTGCTTCTGAAGTCTGAGTATATTGCTCAGGTGTGAGAAGTTTAGGGTTATCAGTTTCAACCCAAGTCAGGTCTGTTTGACATTGAATTGACAAAGTGGATACTTTCGGCATGGTTTCGGAAGGTAATCTGACGACTGATGCATAAGTTTCGTTAGGTAGTGTTGATTCCACAATCTTTTAGCATCAGTAAAGCTAAGGTTTTGAGTGAATTTAACTTTGTTTATTTCCATTTGCTTTGACATATTTTACAATCCTTGGAAAAGGATGAATGATTACCTGAACAATTTGTGCATTTTTTTTAAGTACTAGTGCAGTCTTCCGTCACATGAGACGTCTCGCTACAGTGAGCACACGTCACTGGCTTTGTACAGGTGTTAACACCATGACCATATTTTTGGCATCGAAAACACCTCGATTGATTTGGGATGTAGACTGCAACTGTGATACTACAGTAACCCACTTTAAACAGACTGAGGGAGACTTGGAGATGAGAATGAAAATAGGTATGTGTTTGTCGGAATCAGTTCGTTGTTTTTACGGGTGGTAAATCGTTTGACATATGTCACACCCTGATCTTTCATTTCCGATACAATGTCCAGTTCTGACATGTCAGCTAACAAACGGTCTCTGTCTCTTATAATGTCTTTGCAGGTGTTCAAGGTTCTATGGGCAGTGACTAAAACAGGGATGCCAGCAAAAGTTTGCATTGTCAATAGGTTAGATGCCTGCTGTTGTCTATTGCACTCAATCAGTAGAGAGCCTGAACGCAAGCGTTTGATGTTCTTATCGTCGCCTACAAAGCCATATATCCCTTTAGAAATAATAAAAGGGTTCAACTTGAGTGGGACCCGTGAAGATCCGGGGTAGAATAGGTCTTCAGCAACCCATGTGCTTGCCATAAAAAGCGACTATCTTGTCGTAAGAGGCGACTAACGGGATCGGGTGGTCAGTTTCGCTGACTTGGTTGACACATGTCATCGGTTCCCAATTGCGCATCGATGCTCATGCTGTTGATCACTGGATTGTCCGGTCCAGACTCGATTATTTACAGACCGCCGCCATATAGCTGGAATATTGCTGAGTGAGGCGTAAAACTAAACTCACACTCACTCACTCACCGCTGGGGAGCGCTTAGCGTTACCCAGCACCCATCACGAGAAGGTGACTCTTCACGGGTGCCCGTGCACACCATATAGTCAGAATTCTACAATCGCTTTCTTCTTGATGTGAAAGGGGTTTTGGCACTTATATTTATCACTTTATTTCATGTAAACTACTTTTGTTGAAGATGGTATCTCCTCACTGAATAATACAGGCGTGTTGAGTGAGTTAATGCCAAGATATTTCATTGTTGGTTGTCGAAATGGGCTTGACTTCAGCCCTCATGATGAGTCAGTATCATGTAGATATTGCCTCACGTTGATTCCCAAATTTGCTCAGATTCCCCTGATTTTCACTCCATAAAAGAATCTCGCATTTCGTGATATAATGTGATATGAACAGGACAGAAGCACGCCCCTATATATTGGCTAACAGTTCGGGATCTCTCCATCCATATATATTATTGGTAAGACCATGGACCATGTTGGGATGACCATGGTCGTGCGCTTTCGGTACTACGTGGTACCTCAAAGAACTCTCCATCTAAACGTAGCACAAGTCGAGATATGGCATAGCGCTACCCCCTCCCGACTGTCAACGGAAAGAGCAGATTACACAACGAACACTCTTCCTGGTTGAAAAATTTGCCACATAACAATGTATTGTGCAGAGTAGCTTGGGAGGTCAGCTATTCAAGTACAATTGTATTACTTTTGAGTTATAATTCACAACTTTACCCAAGTAATCACGCAAAACACATAAACTGATTATAAATGCATTTTATGGTGCTGCTGATTGTTCGACATGGTAATTGAAGCTTCTAAATATTAGACAAGCTAATAAACGTACCCTCAGTTTGTCTCAGATATCAGCATAAAAGCATCAGTAATTGTTAACATGTTAATACTCCATAAAATGACCCAAAAATACATGAAATGAATACGACAAAAGCACGATGACATCTTCGTCTCATTTAATTGTAAATTCATTCGTAAATTAAATTCGATATATATTGGTTCATGAACTTTCAGTCTATGCTTTCCCCAACCAGAAAACCATACATTGTGTATTCAAGGGATAAAGGAGATATGGTCTCTGATGGTGAACAAAAAAACACTGTTGGTTTTCGGTACATAAAATTCATTTTGAAATGTATGTAGACGTTCATTAATGATTCCAAAAGGACTTCACTCATATGAGTATATGTATTGGTATGTGCGTGTGTGTGCGCGCGTGTGTGTAATGCATGTTCGGTCTCCTCAAATATATTTGAATTCTCTTGTCTTTCATTAGGATTAAACAGTGTAACTAGTTCCGAGGTTATCGTGACCAAGCCAATTCAACAATAGGTTTAAATCCTGTGGCGTTTGCATTCCAAAGATACCACGTATATGCAGTTCCGTTGAACCGTCCAAGTTCGAATTTACGATTATGTCGAGTTTTCAATGGCATATATTTGCGTTCACAGCACAAGGCAAAAATCACCTGATTTATCCATACTGGATATTGAGTCAACAAGCAGCAAGTTTAGCATTATCGCAGACTTTTCAGAGCGAACCAGAAGCAGAACCCACATGACCTATGAATCAATGCTATCCATATTCGGCTACCCCACAATATAGATATTTTTTTATGATGAAACCTGAATCAGTATTTAATCAAGGTAAGCAGTAAAATAATAACGTGCAATTTTTTAGGATCTACCTGAATACCAGCTGCAACCTATAAACACTTTCTCTGTGGCTGGAAAACATATTTAAAGTCATGGTTGAGACCAGGAGCATCACTTCCACCCTTGCTGTAGATTGTGTTGCGGCATCTCATCAACGAACATGAAGCTGTTTCTCCTGATGGTTCTTGGTATGTATAGTAACACTTGTGTTTACACTAACACAGTATAATGCCGATACTATAAGAACTGGTACAATGTTCATTTGCTTTGATGTGTTTATGATGTGGTATGTCATGATAGATACAGGTAACAGGGTTCTGAAAGATCGAGATACCTAATTTAACATTCGGTTCAAAGTATATCTACAGTTCGCAGAGACCACCATTACTCATGATACCGCTGCAAAAGCCCTTCAGATAAGCATTTTTGTTCCACACTAACATAGTCATAATAGATAAAGGTAACAGGGTTCTGAAAGATTTAGACACTTAATTTAACATTCAGTCCAAAGTCAAATTTACACAGACTACCCACCATTAATCATGATACCGCTGCATATGCCCTACAGACCGACATTCTCTCTTCACACTAACATAGTGACATACCATGCCGCAGTGCAAAAAGGATAGCATATTCGGACACATTATACTGACTCCAAGACATCCAGTCTCTAGTACATCACCTAAGTGCCGAGCACAAGGCAGAGCAAAACCACGTACCATATCTTGTCCTACACACTTTACATATTTCGTCTTGGTCACACGTGTAAGAGACTGCAGCTTCATTTGAACTTCATCCTCTATTCGTGGCTTAATATAACTAAATTCACAAGCTCAATGTGAGAAGACATAGAAGAATTTTATCTTTAGTTGCTTAATTTTAATTCATTTAAAGAACCATGTACATCCGAAGATCCATATGCAAGTGTTATACAATGCGATTCAATTATCTGAATGTAAAGCCCAAGGATCTGTATCAATGATAACAAACCTGGACTTCCTGCTAACACTCGGACAGATACTATTGTGTGTTTTGGGTGTGATCGTACTGGCTACAGTGTTACACGTATGCTTTGATAGGATATCAGAGTTGAATTTCACTTTAGGCGTACTTTGTTCTTTTTCAGCCACTCTGTTGACTGCAGAATGTGTTGTTGCAGAACGACAACAAATCAAGCTGGCCCCAACCAGTAAGTCGAAGACAAATGTTGATTGTGTTACGTGTCTATTCCCAAGTTAAACCAATACGTTAACCCAGAGTCTTGGTGTACAGGAAATTCGATGTAAAACCGACAAAGAAAGAAATGTTGTACAATCAGCAATTACATAAACATAAGGAAGTTTACAACGCACGACGTCTCACTACAATAGCTGCTCAAAATAGAGTAGTTGTACAAGTTCAGAGGCTGTACAAATACAATATTGCGGACAGCAATGAAAGAGAGTGATACTAACCTCGCGCCTACAGTTGTCAAGCTCATGTTTTGTATTGTCTTGCCATACTGACTTCAGGTACAAAGAAAAAGAGAGAGTCAATTTGCACTTAAAACATGTTTTGGGGCCAGATTTTAGTGCCGGGATAAAGGGATGTCGGATTAGAGGGAGTTTCTTATATTATATTATATAGGGACCAAATATATATGTCAGTTTACAGGGAATGTCGGATTAGAGGGATGTAGGTTTAGAGAGTGTCCACTGCACTTCTAAGATGGTCACAATAGCATGCTTTCTTTGTATGTCAAATTCCTACTAAATCAAATCCTGTACATTCAGAATCAAATGACACTGTCTTAGAACACTTTGTAAACCTCTTTTAATCACTCTTAATATCAGTAATTAGGCCAGTGTATATCAACACTGAATTGATCGTTAAAATAATTTGTGAAAATGTCAATTTAAAGTATTTGACATGCATCTTGAATATTTAGTATACTTATTTAACCTGTGATATTGTATGTACATGGTGTCATATTCCATTGGAATTTACTTCATTTAATGTGATTAATATAGTGGAATGTTGTTTCCGTTTAAACATGATAAGTAATCAGAAAAAGGGACCGTTCCAGTTGTCTAACAGATTACATCATGCTTCTATTTTCCTTTTCATACACAGTGTATGCGAGAGCACGGTTCACAAGATCAATATCAGAATATCGTCTTCGGTCTGGTGCCTCAAAACGTCTGAGAATGCGAAGTCTATCAAGTTCTGGCACTGAATGATGAGGTGGAGAGGATTCTAATGTGCATCAAAACAAAATGAGCAATAAATCAGTTTTGTTCTGCAACACTAGCTCTGATACATATTTTACTTGTCAGTTTCCAACATTATATGTAAGTTGTCTTCAATTCTGTAGGCAAAGAGGCAGTGAGGTGATCTAGTGGTTAAAGCGTTGGCTCGTCACGCCGAAGACCCGGGTTCGATTCCCCACATGGGCACAATGTGTGAAGCCCATTTCTGGTGTCCCACGCCGTGATATTGCTGAAATATTGCTAAAAGCGGCGTAAAACTAACCAGTCAGTCAGTCAGCAGGCAAAAGAATCGCTGTGAAACCAATGAGGACAAAGAAATGTTATACAATTAGCAATTGCATTATAAAATCAACTAGGTTTACAAATCAATCCAAACTGCTACAAAGCAAAAACAAAAGCATTACAAATAGGTGAGGTGAGATGAGGTGAAATTGGGTTTAGCGTCGTACTTAAGAGTATTTTGCTGATATGACGATATGCATGGGTATGTATGTGTGGCTGCTTGTACTAGCCCTGGCTTAACCTTCCGCTCTCCGAGAGGACGATCTAACCACTACACCAGGGAGGCAGTCTATTACAACAAGGAGCGTCAGTACAAATTCAGTGAGAGAAACATGCACTGGTTTTGTGACATACTGTAGCATTACTATTTAATTAATTGTGGTCTGTGAAAATGGTTGCATTAGCGTTTGTTCTGTTTTCACAGACTCGTGAACCAGGCTTCATTTACTCAGAGCTTCTATTCTGTAATGGATAACAACTTCTTGTTTATTGCACAGAAAGACGTTCCTATGTAGATTCTTACACCGGTATCAAGATAAGTGTGTTAACCATCAAGTTGTATGCTTCATTATTGACTCACCAACTTCTTCAATATTGACAAAACAATTTTATGCTGTAGGCATAAAACCCCAAAGTGTCGATGCCGCACGCAATGACGGTTAATATGCACGCGCATCTCCTTTATTTCTATCCTTGATTCGGACGGACGGTGGTACATATTTACAGCCTACGCATGTGTAAAACATATTCGCTGAAGTATACAAAACAGATTACAATTATTTGAAATAGTAAATATGTCTCGCCCGGTCACTCATTAGATTCAAGTAGGGACAAAACCAATATTGATTATGTTTTAACGCTAGGAACCTATACTATATACAACATAACAGGTTACAAACTGAAATAGTGACATTGGATACTGTAGAAGTTTGGTAATAGAAACAAATAATGAAACTTGTATAAAAAGATGTCGCTAATGTGGGTGTCGCAAGGTATATTTCCACAAATTTACATACCGAGGCCTCACAGCAGTGCCCCTGCCATGCGAGGACGGCCTATGTTCAAACCAGTGCGTGAGTGTGGTTTTATGTCGCATTTAGCACCATGTGGGGATTTGAACCTGGGTCGAGAAACCGCGTTAACTGAAGTCACACCAACTGGGCGAAGTATCGTACAATCGTCAATTGTATGTTGGTGAATCCAACCTCCGGACATGCGTCTTCGTGTCAAGTGATTTTATTATATGTTGTGTGTGTGTGTGTGTGTGTGTGTGTGTGTTATTGTGTGGGTCTTTGTGGCCCATATATCCGCCATTTTCTTTTATGACGTAACATAGGTGTGACCTTTGTGTGACCTAACCGATTGTTGAACCCCACCTTCCTTTGGGAGTCCCCTTCAGGTCCCGGTGTGTGTGACCTTCAGGTTCACCTTAGTGGGCTGTGATTATTATTCAATTAATTTATGAGTGTTCGAGTGTTCACACAGCAACTCGAGTGTTCAACAGCAACGTAGAATTAATATCACACTATGAGGGGAATTTAGCTGCAATTTATTAGGTCAAAAGTTAGATCAGAGCGCATTTGGTTAAATCAAATCACTAACCAGTTTAAAATACGCTGTCACACAAGGAACAACTCCGAAGTTCTGAGTATTTCTTTTACATATCTGTGAACAATAAACGATTGTAGCTGTTACAATTCATGCGCCACCGTATATGATAAACGTGAATCGGGCGCTGTCTATGCACTAAGAGCACAATCGCTTGCTCGCTGAGCCGTAACTGAACACACATGTTCAAGTAGGTGACAGTTTGTGCGGACCTGGGAGGGTTAATTTGTTCAGCTTCCTGTGTGTGGCTTCCTGTGCTCGCAAAGTTAGCCGGTTCAAGTTGACCAGAAATTGTGTTATTGTAATTTAAAGGTCAGACTGTAATATGTACATGGAATGGTTGTTGATAGTGTTCAATATGATGTTGAATGTATAGTCACAAATGGTCAGCTTCCGTTATGTAGGGAGAGAAGTGTCTGACCGGAATTAAAGACAGGAAATAGTAAGCAGTTGAGGACAGATGGTCACTGAATATCTCAAGTAGGGTGTCAAGTGGTTGTACAGTGATGAAATGATTTAGCATTTGTCATATATATTACTGAATAAATAAACAAACCTACATGTGTTCTCCTGTAAAACTTTCCAGTGCTTTTACTCAAAATTTTAAAACTTTACTCTCAAATTGCAAACATATAAAACCCATCTAATGTCAATGACTACTATACATGACACTTTTTTGACATCATGTGACACATAGGTTACTCACATGCCGTTAGCCGCTCTTATTCTACAGGCAGTACAATGGAATACTGGTGTAAGCTTCTTGTCACTGTATTACGTGGGGTATGAAGAGGTTGGGACCTCCTGGTGTTAAGAATTGTATTGTAGGTTAAATGTATTCAGTGACATAGGGAGCATTATTTATCAGTTGTAAAACAAAGATTTGTACAACGAACAGTTGTCTCATGTCAATCCTCCAGCAATGCATTAAGCGAGTGAGTGAGTCAAAGCCACAAGCATGGCGGAGACGGTAGTAAAAAGCAACGAGACATGCCATCATGTCGTTTAAGATATGCTGTTTGTGCCAAGGAAGGGCAGCCTCTGACAAGGTGTTGCACAGTCTCTGTGAATTCATTGCAAAGTCGACATTTCATGTTAATATTCTCTTTAAGAATCACATTTAGGCGATTGCGAGTGGGAAGTGACTGTTCCTGAGCAGCAAAAAGGAAGCCTTATTATTAGTAGTAGTTTTTGCATGGGTTACTGGGTGGTCTCAACGGACATCGTGCATCTGAAGTTTAGTGAAAGTAGCGATATAGCGTCTCGATTGTTGATCAGCAGTCGTGTCACATTCACAACAGGGGTAAAAAACGTCAGATATACATGTTGGGAAACTGTTGGGTATATCCCTGCGGTCTACATTGACGGGCAGCTGTATTAACGATCTACTTGACAGTGTCACCCGAGTCGAGGTACTAGGGCCACCAGGCTGGCGTAGAGGGAAAACCCGCCATATTGCCCTTATACTGCTGACAGTGCTGAGTGTTATACAACAACAAGAACAACAACAACAACAACAACCCAGTATCTCATGCAGATTTCATGGCATACATGACACTTCAACTTCCACATAAAGAGACCTACCCCATACATACTGTACAGTCTGTGTGCTTCAGTTCTGCTATATCGCGACTGTCTGTAAATAGAGAGCAATCTCCTAAGGTTACGTGAGTGAGTGAGTGAGTGCGTTCTGGCAGGAAATTCGTGTTGAGTCATTATTTTGAGGACTTCTATATCTATATGAACTATTGTACACTACTGACATTTTTGTTTGGATGTTGTTTAACGCCGTACTCCGGAATATTCCAACTATATGGCGATGGTCTGGTCTGGTCTGTAAATAATCAAGTCTGCAACCACACATTACAGTGATCAACAACATAAGCATCAATCTACGCAACTGGGATACGATGGTACGTGTCAACCAAGTCAGCGAGCCTGACACACACACATCCCCCCCCCCCCCCTCCCGTTTTTCGCCGTTTACGACAGTCATGGATTACTGAAGACCAAATTCTAACCCTCATCTTCACGGGTCAGAAACCTTATGAAAGATGTCACGAAAAACTAACTATACCTTCTTTGATCACGTCGCCTGTGTGCATGCGTACTTGTATTTTCCTGTATTTTATTTTATTGAATAGATAGTAAAATGAACTACACCACAAACGGAATTGCCAACAGACAAGAGTTTATTTTGAGGGCAAAAATGGTTGTTTATATTGTCACCAATTTTCAAATTTTGCACCTTTTTTCTTCATGGTTAGTTGCTTTTGTGTCACTCCTTGTGTAAGTTTCATGGATGTTCATCTAGGGACAATAATTTGCAGAGACAAAGTAGTAGGACATGCCACACACGCCCACTGTTATCTCTCTCCGTGATGAAAACAATCTCTCAGCTGAAGATCTGCCGCCAGAACTGTTGTGTTCGCGGCGAGACGTCATATCTGGCGATGATGACGTCATGACTCGGTCTCGGCACCCAGTTGCTGCTCACACAAGGAAAGTGTCTTGTTTACAAACATCGGTTGGGAACAGCTGGTCGTCTGTGAGACCTGGCTACCTTGCCGGCGTGACGTCATGGCTGTGTCCCGACCTTGGGCTGTGTACCTGCACCCAGTGGTTGTCCACCCCCGGAGCTTTACCATTGCAACATTTATGTACATACACGTGTACATATGAATCACAAAACTAAACCTGAAGTATGAACGATATGATATACGCAGGGGGAGAAGGGGTGGGGATAGTGTTGGTGTTACTGTATCCCAGTACGCTTTATCTGGTCACCTGATATCGCCCAAACACTCACAAATTAGCTGTCTGCTGACATGTGCAGTGCAACGTGTGTGCTACGCTTCAATTATTAGCTTTCTTTAATTAGGTTAATGGTTAAAGCGTTGGTTCGTCACGCCGAAGACCCGGGTTCAAATCCCCACATGGGCACAATGTGTGAAGCCCATTTCTGGTGTCCCCCACCGTGATGTTGCTGAAATATTGCTGAAAGCGGCGTAAACCAAACTCAGTCAGTCAGTCAGTCGTCTCAGTAATCATTGAATCATTTCATATTAACTTATATATACTCACACGCATAAGAAACGCAAGTTTTTTACCCAAATAGGTAACAAACTCGGACCCTAAATAAATA